TGTCAAATATACCTCAATAAAGGTGGAGAAAAAAAATTAACTGAACAACTAGACAGAAAAATCAGTAAAGATACAGAAGATTTGAACAACAGAATCAACCAACTTGATCTAACTGACATGCATAAAATCCTCCACCAGACGACAGCAGGAACGCATTAAGAGGACATGAAACAATTACCGAGCTAAACCATTAAATAATTCTCAATAGTTTTAAAATAATTCAAGTCATAAGAAGTCTATTATCTGACCAATTCTACATAAACTCTTTCACAAAATAGATGAGAACACTTCCCAACTATGAGATCAGCCTTAATCTGATATTAAAACCAAATGACATTACAAGAAAAAGAAACCTACAGAACATTACCCTTCATGAAAACAGATGCAAAATTTATAAACAACATTTTAATCAATTAAACCCAACAATATATAAAAATAATACATCATGATCCAGTGGAGTTTATCCCAGAATGCACAATTTGTTTAACATTTCAAAGTCACACCATATAAACAAAGTACATGTGAAAAATCATGTGTTTATCTGCACATATACAGAAAAAGCATTTAGCAAATTCCAACATCTGTTCCTAATAAAAACACCTTTGACAAGTGCATTTTGCTGGCTCTTTCTGACACCTATGGCTTTGGAGCCTCTCTTTGCTTTCTCTTACATATGCCTGCCTGATCTCCACTGCTTTCAGAAATGTCACCATCTATTTTATAATCTTTCCTAGTTTCACTGAAAATGGGGTTTTAATTTTTACTCTGTTGATTAGACATGCCATCTGGACACTAGAAGTGTCAAAGATTCATGCAAAATATAAGACAGGGCCAAGGCCAAATAATTACCACTGGTTAATGGATTCCTTATTTGTTAAATGACCCCGAACCCCATCAGCACTAAGCAACCTATGGCTCTAATCAGAGGTTCTCATATATGAGGACAGTACAGGAAGTCTATAATCACATCTACACTATACGTATGTTACCAGTTTGACAGGTAAACTAATTTTTTCTCCCTCTAACAGGACATTTCTCTATGTCATTATGCATCCTGGACAAGATGAAAACACCACTAGTGCCAAAGAAATTAGATGCACGTATAAAATAAGGTTTATTAGAAGGAAAACTTACAAGTAGTCAAGTGCATGTAATCCCTCAAATCTAATTATCCCAGAGCTTAGGCCAGGCATAGAGGGTCTACATACACTGAGGCCAATATTCCAGATGAGAGGGGTCCTTGTGCTCTTAATTTTTTGCCTATTTACAGCAATGGGATCGGGGTGGGGTAAAGGAGAGAATTGCTATGACTCTAAAGAAAGCTTCCTGGTTAGAGAGGTGGGGGTGGTGGTGCTCTGAGTCCCACAGTTGTTACCTACCAATCTGATTGAGTCATCTTGGACCTGCTGAGCAAGTTCTCTGCCAAAGAACTAAAATGAGGGAGAAAAAGAGCTCCAGGACCATCCAGATTTGCCTCCATTTAGATGTTTCAGAGATGTGATTTGATACATTGACTACCTGAATTTACATATTCACCAGTTGTGTTGTAATGCATTTTCACTATATTAATTTTGGTTGCTACTTCAGGTGAAGACAGTTGCCTTGGGTCTATAACCTCACTGGGTCTCTGTTTCCTTCTCTCTCGAAAAAAGAGGGGCAAAGGTTGAGGTTGATGGCATTTGACAACTACTTTCCTCCCACAAGTGACTTTAAAAGTTGAAAGATACGATGCCATTCCTGAATACATATGCTCTTTATACCCTGAAGGCTAGCTCTCTGCACCACATATAACCGGACTGGCTGACCTTTGTGTCCCTTTCAACCTGAGATTTGATTGTTTGCCTTGCAGTACAATTATTTCCATAATTTAGTAAGAACTGTTCACCACCAGAGGGCAGTCAGGTTACAAGGCAGTAAGGTGTGATGCCAGTCATAACAGACAGCAGGACACACATTCAAATGAAGTGGACCTGTAACTTCTATTAAAATTCTTGTTTTAGTAATATTCCACAAAAATTGTATTGCCTGCTAAGACCATCGCCCAGTTCTCGCGTGTATATATGTGTGCGTTGGGGGGAGATACCTCCCCACACCACCAAGTCAGTCTCGGGCACCAGTTGGGTGTCCTACAATTCAACTCAATTCTAACATTATCCACCCAAAGTTGGTATCAGATTCCACAGGTTACAAGACTAGCCCCCACCCCCACTTCAGATTCCAGTCGAAAGTCCAGGTTGTCGGCTGGGCTTCTGACTCACTGATTATAGAGTGGAGGTTGCAACAATCTCTGCCCTGGGTTTGATTAATTTGCTAGAGCAGCATACAGACTCAGAGAAGCACTTTACTCACTAGATTATTGGTTGATTCTAAAAGGATTTAGCTCAGAACAGCCAGAATGAAGAGATACACAGGGCAAGGTATAGGGAAAGGACAAGGAGCCTTCATGCCCACCCAAAGTGAACCACTCCACTCAAGTCTCCAAGTGTTCGCCAGCCTTAGGTGTGGTCCAAAAGTCACTCATTAAAATAACAAAAGACACATTTATTCCTCTTGTCGCTTAGGAAATTCCAAACGTTTTAGGAGTTCTGAACCAGAAACAGGGATGAAAACCAAACATATATTTATTATAAATCACAATATCACACCTGCCTACTTCGCTGTATGTTCTCTGTTGTGCTGGGAGTCCAACGACTAATAATGTCCTCTAATAGCCCACAGCCCAAACATATGACGGAAGAAGGAAAGACTGGCCTGTCCACCAATTCACAGGATGTGGAGTGTCTTTTCATTTATTCAGCAAGTCTGCATTAAGCACTTACTGTGTGTCAGACACCATCCCATGCACTTTTTAACACAACAGAGAAGCCTGACCTTGTGGAACTGACACTGTGGGGAGAAAGAGCCAATAAAAACTAAAATAAGTAAGTAAATTATGTAGTATGTTAGGTGATAAGTGCTGTGGAAGAAAGGAAAAATAGAGTTGAATATGGGAGAGCTGCGATTAAGATAATGGGTTTTTAATTATCCTAGTAGGGTGGCTAGGATAGGTCTTTGGAGGGGACATTTGGTCAAAATTGAGGTAGGGGAACAGACCATGAAGCTCTCTGGGGGAACAGCATTTCAAGGAGAGAGAACAAACATGAGAGGGTCCTAAAGCAAGAGGGTTTTTAGTAGTAGATGAAGTAGAGATAAGAGGAGGCAAATTATCAAAAGACTTTGATTTTTACTGAGGGCGATGGGGAGCCACTGCAGGATTTTGAACAAAGGAAGAATTTATTTTTATTTTTAATTTTGGTATCCTTAATCTACAATTACATGGGGAACATTTTGTTTACTAGACTCCCCCCTTCACCAAGTACCCCCCACAAACCCCACTAGAGTCACTGTCCATGAGCAGAGTAAGATGCTGTAGAATCACTACTTGTCTTCTCTGTGTTGTACAGCCCTCCCCGTGCCTCCCCCCAGATTATACATGCTAATCGTAAAGCCCCCGGAATATTTTTAAAGGTTCATTATGGCAGCAGTGTGAAGAACAGTCTCCAAGATTTATTTCCTATCAAAGTGTCTCTGTTTATCGGCTCATCAAAAAGCACAATGAATGGCAGTTCAAGGCAACCATCTTCTGCCACCATTTAGCCCATAGCAGCAGATTCGCATATATCCTCACTGTGCCAAGCACTTTAGACACTTTCTCGTTTAATCTTCCCCATACTTTTATGATATTGTCACCATGATAGCTCTATTTTAAAGAAAAAGGAGATTGTGGACGTTAGTGACTAATCCTAGGTTTACAAGAAGTAAATGGAATTCTTAAAAGTTATACCTTGAAGACCTCTGCTTATTAATGTGAAGAAACACTGCTAAGCAAGGTTTAGCACTCCAGGACTGAGGAACTAAGAACGATGATGGTAGCAGCGGTGGGAAAGCAAGACACAAATGTTTTAGTTCAACACTCCTTTGCTTCTTATTTTAAAGTTCTGTCTAGCCATGGCTCCACACTTACCCACACTGTCACTGGACTGACTTCTGCACTGTTGCTTCCTAAGTTTCTCTCTAGAGCGTGGCCTCTGCGTGTTCTGTTCTGTACAGATTTGGGCTTCTACGGAGGCAGCAGCCGTCACTGAACAGACTTTTCTCTGGGTTTTCTCTCAAGCTCCAGTGCTTCCAAAACCTGCCCAGGCAAAGCTGCTGAGTGCTGTCCTGGGACAGGTGCTGGTCTGTGAACTGGAAACATGTGAACTGTTGATAAACTTTAATAGCCATTTTAAAGAGTAATTTATATCTGCTGAATCTAACAGACTGGGGCTTGTATTTAGTATATCTTGTATAAGTACCTCTTCATTTTTCTATAATCTATTTTTATAGTGTTTTACCCGAGAGACTAAATTACAAGGAGACAGTGATTAGACCATATACGAAAATATAATTCTGACCCACAACCTGCAGCAACCTGCCTAGAAAACCAACTTTCTATCTGCAATAATCAGCCGAGGAAGCCAGCCTGCTGTAAATCAGTTTTACCGGAAGCCAGATTACTAGCTTTAGTAACAACCCAGGAAGCTGAATAACCACTGTTAACAACTGGCTCTAAATGGCCAGGACTCAGTCAATAGACAGCTTCCTTAATTTTTGTCCCTGCTTCCAACTTGGGACCCACCAGAGAAAGCCAAAAATGGCGAAGGAATGACGGCTAACCCATCGCACGGGACGCCCGCTTCTAATTAGCCTACCTGCAGCCCCCGTGCCAAAAGCCTCAACAAGGGCACACATTAAGCCTTCCCTTTCTTCACTATTGACCTTTCCCACTCCTCTCGCCGCCCCCGAGTTTCTGCCAAAATGCAAGTGATGGGGGCTGACTCTCTTGCACAGCAAGCTCTGAATAAACTGCCTTTGCATTTCCCATTTGGTTGGACTCCATTTATTACCACATTCCGAAAAAAAAAAGGAAACAAAAAAACAAAATCAAAACAGGGGTCCTCCACCCACAACACACAGTCGTTGGGGCTCCAAGGTCTCCTCCAGGCAGGGGCCTTAAGGCGAGAGAGCATCCCAGGCACGGACCGTCGGCGACAGCAGGGAATAAGGGGGCTGCAAGAGTCCCCGAACTAGAAATGGGTCGGAGGAGCGAGAGAAGGGTGTCGTGCGCTGGAAACATGGGCCACCCGCCCGGAGGGTGTTCCGATCTTCCGGACTTCAGAGCCCAGGGACCCAAGACGTGGGTGAGGCTTCTGCGCAGGCTCTCGACGCACGTGCATTCTCGGCGCCGCGCCTGACAGTGACGTCACGTCCGGCCGCGGGCGCGACAGCTGCAGGGTGTGGGCTGCCCGGCGGGCCGCGAGGGTCGCCGGTGTCCCGCGCCTCCCTTTCCCCGGTAGGCCCCTGGCGCGCCGGGGCCCTGGCCCTCTGGCTCTGGGCGGCTCGTACGTCGCCCGCCGGTCGCTAAGCGTGCAGAGCCTGGTTTCGGCTGCCTCCGCCGGACCGCTTAGTCTCAGGCCGGGTGTGGTTTCCACTGCTAGAGGTGAAGCGGAATAGGGAGACCGGGGCCTGGGGGCTTGGACCAGGGAGGGTGTTTACCTTCCCGTCTGGTGGATGTTCGGAGGCAGGCATATAATTTACAGTATTTCCTCCTGGAGGGCGCGTTTGCCCTCGTACTGCAGCCTGAGAATGGTGTCCTTAGACAACAGGCACCGAATCGCCGTTTAAAAAATAACATCCCCGAGTTCAGTTAGCGTTTAAATGCTTCGGAATTTTGTTTTTAAAAAGTATTTGGTCCCCAAAACTCAGAACTCATTAGAGTTTCTCATTTTAAACGAATCCTAACCTTTGCTGTGACTGACCGGGCTCAGAACACATCTTTGCAAGAAGGAAGACCTTGGCTGTCTGGAACTCGGCCTTCCCCTACCCACTGGGGACAGCTCAGGATTTCTCAACCCTGATGATTATGCTCTTTTTTTGCACTGTCATTTTTAAGCATTTCGGTTGGACAGTGCAATACTTTTTGGAAAATGCATTACATACATTCTGTTTTAAAACACCAGCCTAATTTGACCTTTTCCTTAGTCTTGGGAAGGTTATTGTGAAAGAACCCGAGACTGCTGATTTTTTGAGTTCTGATGACAGATTTTAAGTCGCTCTTCTGTCTCCCAACTCTGACCTGTCACTTGTCAGCCGGCTACATTCCTGCCCCTCTTGTGGTTTATAGTTTAATGCTGTTAGTCTGTTGTGAGTTTTGAATTTTAATTATTACATCTCATAGGATTGTGTTTAAAGGAAAATGAAGCGAGGAACTTGTGACTTTTTAATTTTTTATAACTTTGTTTTTCATTTTACAAAAATGGCCCTTCTTGAAAACAGGACTAAGCAAAAGAAAATTAAAAGTCATCTGGAATCCTACTGCTTAGAGATAACCGTAGCTAACATTTCAGAATATAGTCTAATTTTTTTTTAATGAATAATATTTTTAAACCAAAACCAATCTAAGTATACACTGTTTGGTAACTCCTTTTGCATGACATCTTGTCTGTCTTCCTATTTCACTGATTTTTTTTCTTTTGAATATGTATAATGGCCAGGAGCTCTTACAGGAAAAGTAGGAGTCCTAGTGCATGAACCTTGTGCCACCTATTCTAGCAGCTCAGAGGACTTTTATGTCTTGGTTTTTGGCCAAGGTGAAGTGGTGTTAGAGTTGTGCAAAAGATTGATTTAATATTGAGCCCTGCCAAGAGCAGACAGTTTATTACAGTGTATCAGGTTCATGGAAAAGTTGGAAAAAATACTTGAAACATTTTGATTCTTCATTCTTTGCTTCTAAGCTTATTTTTCCCCCTCCCCATACTCTCTCTCATCCAAGAATGAAACATGACTGAGGACTCTCAGAGAAACTTTCGTTCAGTATATTATGAGAAAGTGGGGTTTCGTGGAGTTGAAGAAAAGAAATCATTAGAAATTCTCCTAAAAGATGACCGTCTGGGTGAGTTTTATAAGTTCAATTAACACTTGTTGGTTCTTAATCATCCCAGATGTTCTGGAATAAATGTTACCTTAGAAGACATCCAGAGGGATGTTACCTGTGGTATTTTTTAGTGGTATATCTTGGGAGAATTTAAGGATTTTTCAAGTTATATTTCACTGGCACAGAGTCATATTTTTGAAAGGCCTCTTAAGAAGTCAATATTTTTTCTAATTTTAGAGCCGTGTATTTTCTTTCTTCAATTTTCAAAGGTGTTAGCATAGCTTCTAGATGAATTTTCAGCAGCTCTTGCCATGATTTTCTTTTATGGGAATACTGAGACCTCATTATGTATTGACATTTAATTTCTTCTAAGCCAGTAATAATAAGGTCTGTTCTGTGTCTGACTAAAGTAAAATAAACTGAGCCATAGTTAAAAATAGTACTTTGTATGCATAAGGTGCTCTTAAAATTTCAAAAGCATTTCCCACCTGATCTTTGATCCTCACTAGACATGTATGTCTGGTGGTGTTATTCTCACTTGAGGGAATTGAGGTCTGGGACAGCAGAGTGTGGTTGTTGGGAACCACAACACAACATGGGGGATTTGAGGGCTGACTGTGCCACGCATAAGCTGTGTTAATTCAGTCAAGTCACCTAACTGCTTTGAGTTTGTTTCTGCATCCTTAAAACAAGGACTACCCAACAAGCTTGCAATATGGAGTAAGTGAAATAAGTTCTGTAAATAGGAACTATTGCTGATGTTATAGAGATGTACTAGCTTAAGCAAAATGCATCAGCTATGCCGTGAAGCACTAATAGTTTTTAAATAGCTAGTTGGTGTCAGATCAGTGTTGCTGTTCCTAGATTTACTGACTACAGTAAACTTCCTCTGAAGAAATGTCTTACTGTAAGTTTTTAAAAAGTGAAATCACTTTTACATATTGTGATATTTTACATATTGTGATTAGCATGAACACCTTCTAACCAATTGTTTTTTTCTTCCTCTAGATATTGAGAAACTTTGTACTTTTAGTCAGAGGTTCCCTCTCCCGTCCATGTACCGTGCATTGGTATGGAAGGTGCTCCTAGGTATGAGACCCAAGATTTGGAAGATTTCTCTTAGAAAATGTTGAATGATGGGATTATTTGTCATCAGTTAGAAAAAGGAGGATTTGTTCAGGCCCTTAACTGCATATTGGGTCTAACCTCAGGAGACTGAATTACTACTCACTATGGCAGCCTGTAAGAAAGTGACTTCAATGGGTATACATTAAATATTACTCTAAGAATGTCAGTTTATTAATGAAAGAGGAGGAAGTAACATGGTTCTGAGACAGGGTGTGGGAAGAGCATTGGACTGGGAGAAGGAACTGGTGTAGGCATTACTGTCACCTGGGTAACCCTGAGGAAGACTCCCCTAGGCCTCATTTTTTTGCAGCCATAAAATGAGGCTATTGAGCTAAATTAACTCCTAGGTGTTAGCTCTCAAGTTCTGATGGCTGTGACTCCCAGCTGTAGAAGTATAACTGCATAGTGAGTGCCATCAGAGTCGAAAAGGAATTGGAGAGCTTTTACTTTCTATAAGTATAAATGAATAAATTTCAGTGATGAATGGCTGAAGGACAAGGGAACACAATCCTGCTCTGTTTCTGTGGAAGAAAAAGAGTTTCAGGTGCCACAAGTGACTGGGACATCCCTTTTTGAACCAAATAATTTTTTTTCTATCATTGCTGAGCCTGCTGATGCATATAATACTCATCCAATATCACCCTCCTTTTCTTTTTTTTTCTCAAAAAACAATTAGAGTAATTCTAGGATTCTCCTATGGGGTGGGCAATATCCCAGTTTTACCGATGGGGAAGAGACTGCAGGGCTCAATAACTTGCCTGTAAATGGCAGAGCTAGGATTTGAGCCCAGGTTTGGAGAGCCCATTTGAAGGTAGGATGGATTATAGACCTCGTTTTCTTTCTAAAATGTACTGTACATTCAGGACTTGAGAAATCCGCAGCCCTAAGTCTGATTTTGGCACGTGGAGGCAGTGAGGGAACACCATCCATACTAGAAGGCACCACACAATGACTGCTTTGTTGTGCATCTCGGCAGTCTTTGTACACTTATATTTCTAGTTGTCACCATGCGCTAAAATCTGGGGAACAAGGGACAACTGTTTTAGTTTTTCCTTCAGCATTTTTTCTTCAATCTTAGTGTTTCCAGGGGCCATCGAAATAAATGCTTTCCAGGAGTGCCTTTTAAAGGTGATGTCAGACTGTTCCTGCTGGGAAATCCTGTGTGTCTTACTGATCAGCGGTCCCAGTGGGTGAGTGGGAGGTGCACAGCTGTACTTTGTGGCACTTCCTGAGTGCCAAGGCTTGCTCCCTCACCTCATTTTTTCCTGCCTGTCTTATCAAGTAAGTCTGTTGCCCTTTTTGAAGTAGTTAAAGGCCCTGGGAGTTTACAGCTGCCACACTAGGTAGACAGATTGGCTCTTCCAAGCACAGGTTGGTGATTTCTCAGGGACCTCAGTATGTCTGCTTCCTGTTGCCATTGTAGGTAAATATCAGAAAGAGACTTTGTGGGACTATCTCTTACAAAACAAGTTTGAGGTTTAGCATGGTAAGCACTGTGTGCCTCTCGTAGTAGTTGTGGGTTTAACTACAGCTCTTTAATCTTCATTAGCCAGATTGGGAGGACACTTTAGTGTATTCCCCTGGATTTTCTGGAAGCCTGGCATATAATCCCATAGGTAAGGTAAATGGCGACTTACATCAGGAATAAGAATATTTAAGCAGGTTTGATTCAAACAGGAACATGGCATCTTGTTAGCTAGAGTCTTTCAATTTCACCCAACTTTTGGTTCCCAGAATGTTCTTTAGAACATTGGGTCTCTGGTGCTTTGCACCAGAGCGATCCTTAGTCACGTGTACTAGCTAACAGTTACGCTAGCTTAGTATGTGCCATATACTTTCTAAGTGCTTTATATATACATAATTTTTATTCATCACAACAACTGTATGAGATAGGGATTATTACTCCCATTTTTCAGATGGAGAAGCTGAGGCATAGAGAGATCAATCAAGTAAGTTGATGGTCACCTGGTCAGTTAATTGTAGAGCTAGAATTCCAACCCAGAAACTTTGACTCCAGAGGCTGTGCTGCTATGCAGTCCTGCTAAGTTTGTGAGGCAGGAGTAAATAAAGATGTTTTTCGATACAACAAAATTGAGAGTCTTGAAAATTCACTGTCACTGTTCTCCAAATCTGTTAGCTGTGGTCCTCCTTTCCTAATGAAGACTCTCAGGCAGGCGATGTGCCAAGAACATTTGGTGTGAAATGCTTATCCATCCGTCTCCCACCTCTGACAGATGGGGGAACAAGTACCTAGAGAGACGTTTGTGGGTCTTGGTGTTAATCACATGTGTGACTAGAACCCAGCTTTACTGAAAGTCTGTCCGATGCTCTTTCCACTATGTTTACTGCATGCCAAAGGTGTTCTTGCTCCAAAGCCTAATGGGTAGCATCATTTTTAATGGATTAATGAGACTAAAGTGGCATTGAAATGTCATGTAAGGGGGCCTCCTCAGTGAAGATTAGCGATTTCTCTGGTCCTAAAGATAAGATACTTTGTGAGCAGGTTTTAGTTTTTGGGGAGGAGAGTGATTTGATGAGTTGGTGGTGGTTCTAAGATAAAGGGGGCTCATTGTCGGCAAAGGCTGCCACAGCAAAGTCCTGTAGATTGGGTGGCTTAAGCTATGTTCTGGTGGGTCTGGTGGCTGGGAAGTCCACAATTAAGATGCTAGCTGGTTTGGTTTCTGATGAGGCCTTACTTCTTGGCTTGCATATGGCCTCCCTCTTTCTGTGTCCTCACATGGCAGAGGGAGGCGAGGAAGGGGGAGGCAGAGGGAGCATGAATGAGCTCGCTAGTGTTTTTTCCTTTTGGATTTTTTCCCATTGGATTAGGGCTCTTCCCTTATAAACTCAAATGACCTTAATTAGTTCCTTATAGACCCTCTCCAAAAATAGTCACACTGAGGATTATGGATTTAACACATGAATTTTGGGGTGACACAATTCAGCAGGGGCCAAATACAAAATCTAGAGATAGACTTCGCAGAACTAAGGGTGGCCCCAGGCTGACAACCATAAATTGAATTAAATCATTGTAATTGGTGTGGTTATTATCTTGAATTTAGGTGGCGTACCTATTCAAGGGCTTTATGATGCCATTTCATTTCTCTTTAGTATCAGTGATGCAGTTGCCATTCAAATATCAATAGTATTTAAAATTTAAGACTTTTATAGTGAGAATTTCTAGAAAAGAACCTGGTACTTAAACTTGTGCGAGTCTCGTCTAATTGCGCTGGGCACCGTCTCACAGGATCCTCTGTAGTGGAGGCATCTGGATGGTGTCTCAGTGTTTTGCCTTTTTTTCTGGGTTTCCATGTAGGGATCCTGCCGCTGCACCATGAGTCCCATGCCCAGGTGATGATGTATCGCAAGGAGCAGTACTCTGATGTCCTTCGTGCCCTGAAAGTCATTCGCTTTGTCAGTGACGCCACGCCTCAGGTCGAAGTCTATCTCCGCTTGTATCAGCTGGAGTCAGGAAAGTTACCTCGAAGTCCCTCCTTTCCACCGGTTAGTGGTACTTTTGTTTGACACTTTGCATCAACTCTAGGCTGTCCCGTCATGCCAGCCTTCAGTTGCATCATGTTTGTCTTTGAAATGTTGAATGGCTCCCCCTAGTCTATAGAATAAAAGCAACACATCTATTCCTAGCATTCATGGCCCTCTACGTTATGACCCAATCTGCCTAATTTTTTAAAATACATTTTATTTTGAGGTAATTGCAAACTTACATAAAGTTGTAAAAACACTACCAAGAATTCCCACATACCCTTTATCCGGGTTCCCTAGTTGTTGACTTTCTTTTACCACATTTGCTTTGTCATTTTTCCTCTATATATTTACATATTTTGTTTCTAAACTATTTGAGAGTAAGGTGCAGACATGACATTCCATGACTTCAGACTCCTTTGGTGTGAACTGCTTACAGGTAAGAACACGCCCCTATGTTACCACAGTACAGTCCTTGAGACCACGAAGCTGACACACATACAGATACTAACATCCAGTCTTCAGACTCCATTCACACGGGGCCAGTCCTCCCAGTAACACCCTTTATCAGAAATAAACAGAAGTTTGGTTCAGAACTTATCAAACTTTCACTCACTAGTTTTTCCATTTGTTGATGACTTAGATGTTTTTTAGAGTTTTAACTCTTCATTTAAAAATAATTTTAGACCTAGAAAAAAGTTAAAAAAGTAGTGTAGTTCCCATGTATCTTCACCTAGCATCCTCAGATGTTACATCTTGCCTATCATAGTTCAGTTATAGAAACCAGAAATTACCACTGATACAATACCATGAGCTAATCTTACTGAAATTTTGTTGATTGTCCCACTGATGCCCTTTGTCCGGTCCAGAATCCCACTGCAGATCACACATTACATTTATTGCGTCTTCTTAGTCTCCATTAGTCTGGAACAGTTCTAGTCTGTCTTTGTCGCTCGTGACCTTGACACTTTGGCAGAGGTCCAGGCAGTAGAGTGTTTCTCAGTCTGGGTTTGTTCAGTGTTTCCTCGTGATTACAATCTGGTTATGTGTTTCGGGCAGGAATACCACCTATGACACTTCTGTGGCTGCCAACTTTGGTCACTTGGCTAAGGTGGTCTCTTCCAGGTTCCTTCACTGTAAAATTACTATTTTTCCCTTTGTAATTTAACAAGTCACTTGTGGGGAGGTACTTCAATACTGTGTAAATATCCGTCCACTAATGAGTCTTGCCTGAAACAAGTTTAACTTTGCTGCTTGCCAAATGGTGATTTTTTCTAGTTTCTACATTTGTTCTTCATTTATTAGTTGTCATTCTTTAATAAGGGGGGTTTTTACTCTTCACCATCATTGATTTATATATATCAGTATGCATTTATAGATTCCTCCTTTATTCAGTGGCCTATAATCCATTACCACTGTTATTTATTTTGGTGTTCAAATTGTCTCAGATTTGGCCACTGGGACCCCTTCAAGCTGAGTTCTGTGTCTTTTTGACAAGTTCCCATCATTTTGGGCATTTCTTTAATTTCTGACACAAAATGATATTCCAGGCCCCTCTTGTACTTTCCCTGCCCTGGGCCTGGAATCAGCCTTTTCTTTATGAACAGAGTGTGGTGTTTAGAAACCAATAGCCAGGCACTAGATATGCTCATTATTCATGGTGTGTCATTGCTTCTTAGTTCTCTCAGCAAACAGAGTTGGGAAATCTATTTATGTATACATACATCCACATACATATTTGCACGCACCTATATATGATTATATATCTATTTAACTCTAAATATTAAGAACTACAGTTCACACTAATACCTCCAGTTCCAACCCAGTATCACAAGTTCACTCTAGCTCTATATTTACAGCTTCCTTCTCTGACAGATGCAAATATGAAAAGGCTCCCACTACCCTCAGTATATTTACTTCTTTGCTCTTTCTTCTGTTTGTAACCAACACTGCCAGCCACAGGCCCTAACCTGCTTTTTGACCTTTGCCTTTGACAACTCCTCACTCTCGTTACTTGGATTGCTTCTATATATTTACATATTTTGTTTCTAAACTATTTGAGAGTAAGGTGCAGTCACGACATTCCATGACTTGGGAAGAGAAGGAGAAAAGAAAGAGTTCAGGCAAAGGAATGATTATAGCTCTTGAGCTTTGGCTATTTTAATACAATTCAGAGTTCACTCTAGGCACTCTAGGCATTGTAACAACTTCCTTTCTTTTCTGAAACAGAGTGAATTGTTCAAAATAGGGGTTTGCCTGCAAGCTGTGCTGTCCTATAGAATTTATTTGATTTTTAAATTATGGATTGCAACCTACCAGCATATCAATTTGAGTTTTGGTTTGTTCTTTCTGAAGTTAATGATGTGGTTCCCACCGACAAACTTTATGTTGTCCGCTTTTATTAAGTTCATCAAGAGAAAATAGTTGGAACTCTTAACAAATTTCTTTGAATTTTACTTATCTTTGCAGAGCGAAGTTGGTATTTCTATACAAGTTCTTAAATTGCATATTAAATTAGGTTAGATTATCTGTTAGTTCAAAAAGCCTAAATGCTGGGTAATCGTTTTCACCTCATCCCTCCTCATCTTGTCCATGCTTCAAGCTGACACCTGCACCGCAGTCTTGGCGTGTTGCTGTCAAATAGTTTGTTTTGGGCTCTGCCACTCACATCTCCCCCATCGCCAAGCCCTACTCAGCATCATTTTTCTTATCTATTAATAAGAGTGTGTGACAGTGCTCGGTGCAGGGCTGGGAGCATAGTCATGGACATTGGCCCTTTTCCTTGGCCTCTCAGAGTTGCGGGGGGTGGGAGTGGGGGGCAGTAGTGAGACTCCAAGTTCAGAAGCACCAAGTGCAGGGCCGGGTGTCAGGTGGGAATCCACGTAAGGCGACTTCCTTCCTCTTTGCTTCCTTTCTGTTCTTCTTTCCTCTCCTCTCTGACACATTAATTAATGTTCAGAAAATTTTATTTTCTACAATACTGTTACTCTCAACATTTTATGAAATATTAACAGATTGGAAGGAAGCCTAAAATGAAATACTGTTATTAAACTAAGAATTTCAATTTAACTTGGGACTCTTTAGGGGAGTAGATACTTATAGTTTCTTTTTAACATGAAAATCATTCAGCTATTAAATCCTAGATGAAAACGTATTTTTGTGTAAGATATGGTGTTTGAAATCAAAATTGATTTTTCAAGTACACTGCAGTTTTTATAAGATTTCTTTGTTGAAATTTACTTGAGGCTTTATTTTCATGTTCTGAGTGTGAATACAAGGTTTGGAAAATGCCATTATTTTGATTTCTAGAGTTTTGATTCTAAGGACATTTTAACTTTTTAGGTGCTTAAAGATAGAACAGAACGACAAAGGTATGTATGAATTCTTTGAAATAAGGAAAATTCTTTATTAGTCCTTTTGGAGTCATTTAATTTTTGCAAATTACTGTATTGACAAAGGTTTCTAGTTATTATTTATAATGTTTATCACATCCTTTTGGAAGAAATTCTTCTCTAATAGTGAGAATATTTTTGGGTGCAGAGAGTCAGCACCTTGCTTGTGATTCATGTTGCCTCTTTGACGGCCTTGGTGTCGGGCACGGGGAGGCTCTGGGTGCTCAGCCTGCCACCCGGGAGGTCGTGAGTGGCGCTGACTTACATAGAATCTATGTTACTCACCCTTATCTTTCCCTTCATCTTCGCTTTGGTGGTGAACTGTGTGATTTGTGGTTCCACTTTGATTTATTAATGAAGCCTCTTCAGAATTTAGGGGGTGAGGTTTCATGGTTAGCAAAGAAATAGTATTCCTCTCTTCCGCTGCCTCCCTCCTGAGATCTATTATTAATCTTTCAGGAGCCAGAAGATGAAGTGTTTCTTGCCATTGCTAAAGCCATGGAAGAGATGGTGGAAGATCATGTCGATTGTTACTGGATCATCCGATGCTTTGTGAACCAATTAAATAACAAGTACCGGGACTTTTTACCCCAGCTGGTGAGGGATGATTTTTTGGCTGTTGTGGGCGTAGTAACAGATTCCTTAGTAATATACCCTAGAAACAGATTGACTTGATCAAAGGGTAAATGCATATGCTATTTTTCTAGATATTCCCAGATTCCCCTTGTAGAGCTCCTACTCTTTTGCACCCTTTGACCAGTAGATGAGAACTTGTCTCTTTATGGCTTTGCTAACATGGAATGTTGTTTTGCCAGTCTGAGAGGTGAGAAATGATTCCTCAGTTTAGTTTTAGATTGCATTTTCTTCATTATAGCAAGATTGAGCATCTTTCATATGAGTAAGAGCCATCTGCATTTTTTCTATTAGAGTTTTTGGCTTTTTTTCTTCTCTACTTTTAGAAGCTCTCTTCATTTGGTGATATTCACCCTTTAAGGTTGTTTATTAATGTGGGAAAATACCCACACTATCTTGAATGCAAGGAGCAAAATAGTAAGTTGCTAATACAGGTGCATGTGTAATGTGTACAGGGAAATAAATGGATGCTGCACAACTACCAGTATTATCTTTGTTAAAGAAAAAAAGTAATATCTTTGATAAAATATTATCAGTAGTTATCTTTGGGTAGTGTGAGTATAAGGTATCTTTTATATCCTTCTTTATTCTTTTCTGCGTTTTCAAGATTTCTGACAATGAACATAATGATAAATCAGGAAAAATATAATAAGACTGGCAAAAAGATGATCGCATTGAGCAATTATCAAAAGGTTGTATGTATTGAATGATTACTATGCCAAGTGATATCGTCGGTACTGGAGAAGAAGCAGTGAACAAAACAGATACAGGCCTTGCCCTCACTAAACTTACAGTCTGAAGGAAAAAGACAATATTAAATTGTTTAAAAGTTTCACTCATCTGTATCTTGTTATTTGTACTAACTTCTGGATGAAATTTTCTTTGCTGTGAGACATAATATAGAAATGTGCATATAGGTGTTTTCACTCACATCACTTTGTGAAAAAACATTCCATTGATGGGACCAACAAAATTTGTAGAGTAGGATTTCAGAGGTGAGAGGCCAGGGCAGGAGTCCTTTGGCAACTTGTAGAAAAGGCCTGGTTTGGGGCATTGTATGTAGTGTTGTTGAGAAGCTCTAGGAATTAAGTAGTATAGGTACACATGGGTAAACAGAAGAAAGTTGGAGATACTCTGAAAGGAACGGGTGGGGATTAGAATTTTTATTACATAGTATTTTAGTTATCTCTTTACTTGTCTGCCTCAACCAGGCTGTAAGCTCCTTGAAGTCAGGGACTTTATCTTTGACTCTTATCCCCTGTCTGTAGCACAGCGTCTGGCTAAAGTGGACATTGAAGGGGTATGAGTTGCCTTTTGGCAGAGATGCAGATGTTTAGTAAGAAACACATTCGTGTTTGCTTAGGGGATGTGGGATCTGGTGTACTTTTCCAGATAGGGAGTACAGACTTCAGGGTTTCATCTTAAGGGTCCAATCTTAGCCAGTGGCCCCTAAATAGAGCAGCCTGTGTGAGGTGGGTTCGGCTGGTCTGGGGAGCCAGCTGGGTTAGATCTCTAGTTCTCTCAAGTCGGCTGCTGCTTAACCTTTTATAGGACAGGCTACTGGATGGAATCCAGGTGCTCCGTTCCCTGTTACTCCTCTGTCTCCCAGAAATTCTTACCTGTATTCTTTTGGGTACAGAGTCCCTCCTCTGACACCCCTGTTTGTATGAACCTCCTTGGCATGATGCATAGTAGTGGTCAGTGTGGTCAGTGATGGATGGGCCCCTTTCATCTCCAGCTCTTTTTCTGTCTCATTCTTCCTAACTTCCTCTCCTCATTTTAGTCCCACTCTCTTTCTTTGGTCTTACCCTTCCTCTTTGCCTCTTTTTACTGTCATCAGTAGTCTGCTGCCTAGAGCAGCCAGGAATATCATGGGCTTTTCTTTGACTCTTTAGAATGAATGGATTTTGCTTTGCCCTCTGGCCTTAGGCTGTTGAATCCTGTTAGTGCAGTTAGCATGGGGATGACCAGCAGTTGTGTTTTCCCTGGGACTGTCCCGGAAAACCCCTCAGGCCGGGACACACTTGTTCTGGTTTCTGCTGATTTGGGAGACTTACATCACCAGGGGCTTAAATGATGCTGAGGTTTTGTTTTCTAGCACTCCATTGCATTCAGCATGTATTTTTTTTCAGCATAGGCTGTAAGACCGGGTAATGGTATGTCACAGGAAACGAGTAATCTCTCTTTCTGTTTAATCATTAGCCAAAGGCTTTTGAACAATACTTGAATCTGGAAGATACCAGACTCCTGAGTCATCTGAAGACATGTTCTGCAGTGTCCAAACTTCCTTATGACCTCTGGTTTAGGAGGTGCTTTGCAGGGTGCTTGCCTGAGTCCAGTTTACAGAGGTGAGTATTTCTTTCAAAGATGTACTGAAGTTTGTGCTTAGAGATGAAACCTGCTTTTTCCTGTGATCATCTCAGAATATAAATTTGCCTTAGGACAGTACAATAATTTGAAGCTAAGTGCTCCAGCAGCTAACCTAACAGCATATGATTCTGCTTACTATTGACACAATTAGAACTGTTAGAATACTAGTAATATTAATTTGACACAAATGAATATTGATATTAGAAGTATCTGAACATATGATTACAAAACTTCAAGTCCGTCAGTGTGTTAGATGCTATTCTATATTCACCTCTCAAACAGTGGAGCAGAAAGGCAATACACAGAGAACATTACAAGACAATAACAACTAAGCCCATAGAGTGCCTTGTCAACTTGGAGAGTTATGGGAATTATCAGAGTACTTATTTTAGAGTCGTTGCAGATCAGTGACTAGCTCCTTAAGCCCTTAGAAAATTTAAGGAATTCGAACCACTGGAAAATGAATTTGACTTTATGTCATTTCATATGCTGCTTTTGTTGTTCCTTCATAAGTAATGATTGTATTAGCATTACAGTATTAGTAAATATTAGCAAAATCCAAACATAGGACTTTCCTGCCCAAAAAAGTCAGATTTGAAACATTAGGGAATGGGCATTTGCTAGATTCCTAGCAGAGAAGTACTTTGTGATGATAATTCCCTTTTTCCTGCCCATGCTGATTGTGTCTGAAATAGATTTCAAATAGTTGCTTTATTTTATTCTGTTTTTTGATGACTTACATTATAGCTATTCTCTGAAGTTTATACTTAAAAAGGAATAATCTAATTTTGTAATTTGGGATGTCTAAGTAAATATAAATTTCAGACTTGTATAATTTGATTATATCCTTTTATTTTTGTAGGGTTTGGGATAAAGTTGTAAGTGGATCCTGTAAGATCCTAGTTTTTGTAGCTGTGGAAATTTTATTAACCTTTAAAATAAAAGTAATGGCACTGAACAGTGCAGAGAAGATAACAAAGTTTCTGGAAAATGTAAGTGTGCTTTATTTTATTTGATTTTGGAAGTCAGTTCCACAAGCCAGATTATCCCATTGCATTATGTTATTTCAGAGAAATAATACAGTCTATTTTTACATTATAAGAAACAATTCTTTCCCTTGAACAAGTTTAACTTAAAGTTAGCCTGTGGGTTATAGCTTATATCCTGTTTGGGGGACAATGAGAGCAGCGAAAACTTGCTGTGAGTATGTGCACTTAGGACCAGAGCCTTATCCCTGATGTGACTACTAGAATGCTTGTCAAGGCAAGGAAGGTGACATCTGTCACTTTAGGATAAGCAATCCTTATTGGTGGAAAAGGAACCCAGATGTTTTGGGGGATTTTGTAAACCCTTTCATTTCTGTTACTATCTCTTTGAGAATCCCAGTTGGGCTTGTTAATGTGCTTAAGCATAAACTTAGTGCATGTTGAAAAGGTCTAACTGAAGCAACTTTTCCTTCTTTGTGTATCTTAGAATACCCCTAACCAGGCAAGAGGTAGAGGTAAAGAGACTTGTGCCTGTATGAGTTTCACTGGATGCAAAAATCTATTCTTTTTTTAAATCAGTCAAATTAGCACTTGACCAGTGATCCAGTAAACAATAAGTAGTAAATGTGTGTTGAATAAATGGAGCATCATCATTATAATAATTAGTGGCTAACAGTGCCAGGGTCTATGCTAAGTAGTTTTCATGGATTATCCCATGTAATCCTATTATGAACAACCCTATGAAGCTGGGCTATCATTTGCCCCATTTTAGAGGTGGGGATCTGACCTCAGGCAGCTTAGGTGACTTCCCAGGGGCACAGAGTTAGTGGGCAGGGCAGGATTTGAACCCAGGCAGTCTAACACCAGAGCTCCTTAGTATGTCCCCAGGTGACTCGAGAAGCAAAGTTCCGGCGGCAGCCTTTATGTGATCACCTTATGAAAGACAGTGAAACTCCAGTGGAAATTAGTTTATGCCACAGTGAATGAGGAAGATCCTACTGGAGTCCTAAACACTGAAACTTCATGAAGACTGGTTTGCTTATTCATAGATGCCCCAGGACAGCTCGGATGCGATTGTGAGCAAGGCCATCGACTTATGGCACAAACACTGTGGGACCCCAGTACATTCAGCCTAAGTGCTCCTGACGGCAGTGGACGGCCTGCCAGGCCTGCTGGAGCATCGTGTTCTTGGGACATGATCTGCTAAACTGTTTGAGAACAGGGTTCTTGCTTTGGTGCTCAACATGTACATTTTTTTCCCAGTGAAATTATCTAAGATTCCTGGTGATGTGTTGTGGAGCAGCACCTTTGGGTTACATAGAAGTACAGAGTTCAGCTCTGAATAGCGTTTTTAAAGGGTTGTTTGAAAATACCTCCAAGTTTTAAAGCGGTTCAGTCAGGGTGGGTGGGTGCTTTAATGAGCAGTGTGTAACCAAGCCTGCCCACTTCTCTCTAATTAGCACCAAGCTTCTCACTTTCTAACTTCTATTTCTGGAATAAAGAACAACTTCCTTTTGTGGACAACTCAGATTTGGCTTTTGTTGATGCAGTACTTGTTCAAGCTGACTGTTTTCTGAGGCTTCATCTTGCCAAATAGGTTTAAATAAAGGCCTTACATTCTGTTTCTCCGTCAGTTGGAATGAAGCAGTTAGCGAACGAAGTATATCTAAATTTACCTATCAGGAGAGAGTACGTGTTGGTGTTTTGCTGGGTTCCTGCTGCCTCCTGCCGAGTCTTTAAATGTTGGGTGGGCTCTACTCTGTCACCCAGAGTAGGAATGGGTTAAGGTTAGTAGCTAATGATCACCGGGCCATGTTGTGCACGTACTGTTAACTTCACTGGACAGTAGCAGGCCTTGAGATGGTGAGTGAGATAAGGCCTTTGGTTTAAGACTGATCTACTGTCAGACCTGCAGGATCCTGAGTGGTGAGTTGGATTTTCCAATCCCACCCTGCCCCCAACAGAAGACAGAGACCACGAAATTATTGAGTTATAATTCTGAGAACTCAGTCCCTCCTTCATGCACAAAATTGAGAAAGAGTTCATAGGAAACTGAGTTGTGGAAACCAGATGGTACTTGTTGTAGTAACATATCCAAGAGTATTTAATTTTTTAAAACAAAAACTCTCAGAAGAAAACTCCTCAAACCAAATTGCTGCCTATAGTTAATACTTTATATTTATTCAGTGATTGTCTCTGCCCGTGAAGAACTTCCAAGCCAGTTGGAGATGTAAGAAAAAAGACACGAGAAGGAATCTCTTCCTCAATTGTCTGCTGTCTGATGATCGTGGGAGATATGTGAAATCCACAGAAGTCATAAAACAAAGGGATTTTACTTCTGGTTAATTTATGAACTACATATCGTTAGTACAGCTTTTTAGTAAAATAGAGATTATAAAGTCGAGTGATGGTAGTGAATCTCCGTGCCAGGAAAAGCGATGTCTCAACAAGAGGATGGTCTCAAGGTAAGCGTGCCTGCTTATCCCTAAGTTCTGGGAGAAGACTGGCATGTGACAGAGCAAGGATGGAGGCAGAGGGAGACAGGAAGGAGGAGGAAGCTCAGGGGCTGAAACGTTTGGGCAGGTCCAGATGAGCTGAAGGGCAAGACCACTACTGTCCTGCCAAGCTTATCAGGAGATGAGTGTTCCTCCCGCAAGTATGTTCTGTCTAATCCAGTTCAGTAACGCCTTCCTGGCTAAAGGGTGTGGGGTGGTGATTTTTTAAAAAAGTGAGTCAATCTGATACCATCAAGAGTTTTCCTATTAGAAAACTAAACTGTTCCATCTCAGAAGGATTTTTTAAGGCCTGCTGTGAGGACGGTGGTAGAATAAAGATCCAGTTTTATTTTGCTTAGAGCTAAGTATTTTGAAAATGTTTCTGCCCACTGCCTTCAGTGTAAAGCACAGCTCCTGATGAAAATACCTCTACTCCCTTTATTCAGAACATTTTGCCAGGATACCACAGACTTTTCCCTCTATGTTAAAGCCCAGGGTTTCTGTTACAGCCAAAACTGTGGCTCATTTGTGGGGTTCTGCCTCTCCCTTGGAGAACTGGGATTTAACATTATTAAATTTAATCTCTAGTCCTTCCCGTCTACAGTGTCTTCTTAAACGCGGATGAGGGAAGCTCTGAGTCTGCTCTGCTGGGGCTCTGAGGGGGCCAACAAAGTGGGGATGTGTGTGTGGCTTTTGACTGATGACAGAAGGAGTTGACAAATTGTGCACACAAGGCTTGTGTGTGTGTGTGTGTGTGTGTGTGTGTGTGTGAGGCAACTTCAGGAAATGAGGTCAGGGTTCATTAGAACAAAGTGCTTTTTTTGTTCATGGCAAGTCTGCCTGAAAGTCATGGGGCAACACAAATCACGTGATGTGTAGAAGGACTTCTGAAGGCCTCCGTCCTCTCTTGCTGTGGGTGTGAGACATGCGTGCCCTGGAATTGCTCAAGAATCCTCCCTTGGCTATGACCCATATCAAGTTGTTATCACCTCCCCACGTAATTTGAGGTTTATTTTTTTTCTCCCTGAAAGTGAAGCATCTGGAGGAAGTCTGTGGGGGTAAGGAGGGTGAAATAGAACACATGCCCAGGACAAGGTCAGAAGACTAGTCTTGCTCAGAGCGACAGCTTTTGTGACGCTGTGAGATTTAAGCAAGAGTGGTGTCCCAAGTTCAGCCAGAGGCGGCCTTTGGGAGGAGCAGGGGCATGGACAGCTGGCAGGGTGTCTGGCTCAGCGTTTTGCATCTGCCAGAGGCCACATAGGACAAGCAGCTCTTGTCTCCAGCTGGGTGTTCTGCGCTTGGAAGGGCCAGAGGACGCTCCCCTCTGCTTTGACAGAGAGGAGTGTGGGAACTTATGTGGCAGGAGCTGGTGGCATTCCCTTGGGTGGATGAAACAGAGCAGTTTCTCCTCTAGACTCTGCCAAATGAAACCGCTTGAGGCTCTTGGCACAAGCTGCCCTCTCGAGATCAGCTGTTGCTTATCCAGAGTCAGCGCTGGTTTGGGTGGGAGTGGGGGTGGGTGAAGGAAGAGGGGCTGAGAACAGGGAGGCAGGGCTTTCCTGGAGGCCCACGGGCCAGGGAGGGGTGCTGTCTTACTACTCCTGGCCAGTTCCTCCCTTTCCTCTTCAGTCTCTCAGCCTCAGCTTGCGGAGCTTAAGAAGTAGGTGGGCAGGTGGTTGCTAGGCGAGGTGACAATTCCCCACCTTACTCCTGGGGTTGGTTTTATTGCAGGGCAACCCCAGGGGGAGTTGGAGAACGTGACCCAAGGAGGACGTGAGGAAATCAGGAAGCTTGTCCTGACCAAGCAGAAGTCCAATTAAAATATCATAGCAGGGGCTAAGTGTCCAGAGCTCAAAATTACACCTAAAATTTAAGTGTTGTCCTGTAGTTTTCCAAGAACTTATGAGCATGTGTGCTAGGGACTGCTAGGGCTCCCGCTGCCCTCTGTCCTCCTGCTGAGCCTCCTGCTGCTGCTCTTTTCTAGGGTGTTAACAAGTGGCCCCCTGGTGTTTGCTGGTTGCTTTGGCATCTCTTTCCCCTCTGCCTTCCCTCCGGACACAATGCTGTGCAGGCTTTGTGACAGAGGCAGCAAGGAGGTGAGTTTCAGATGTTTCGCTTCTAAACGTCAGAAGGCCATTCTCCACGTCCTGTGAGCCTGCAGCCCCGACTCCCACTTCTTCCCCTTCCACTCTGTGTGGTTCATTTGTTCTGTTCTCATTCAGTTATGACATCAGTTTGAGTGCACCCCTAATTATGGGCCAGGTACTGGGCTTAGTTGCTGATCAAGTCTTATGGTCTTTGCCTTCTTGGAACTTACAACCATGCAGGGAAGACAAATATTAAACAAGTACATATTTTGTCCTCTTTGTCTGTAAGCTGCCGCATGAGGGAGGAGGTAACCTGGGTTGACCCAGGAGGGCCAGAGGAAGGTTGGAGTTACTCTGAGATGTGTGGCTCTTTGTCCTCTTCCCTTACTATGGACGGGGCAATAGAGCCTTGGCTGGCAGAGGGGTGGGACTTGGGGAGAGGGTTGGAGCCTCTCTCTCCTGCCTAGTTCTGTGACCCAGGGGGATCACTCAGCCTGTCAGCTTGTGTCTCAGTTTCCCCATTGTCAAGCACAATTCTGGTTCATTCCTTATCCCTCAGTGTGCTCATGTGTATCCAGGGAGTTTTCTGTGAGAAAGCACTTTAAGAAAGGGACTGCACAGACTGTTGCATTTTGTTGATAGCATGATTTGCAAAGATGTGGCCAGGTATTGCCTCTGAATATCCTCATCTTTGACGTGCTCCAAGCATCTTCTGTGTTCTCTCTCCTGCACTCTCCTGCAGACCACTCCTCTGTAGCCATGCAGCTGGAGGGGACTTATAGCAGACACATGGCCACCAGGAGCCTACCTGTGTCCGCGCAGCGTGGGGGTGGGGAGTGAGGGACATCGTTACATGGTCCACTGTGAACTGGGAGGATGCTCTCAAAAGCTTTCCACTCCATTTAGCAAATCTGTTGACTGGATCTGTGCCCTGCAAAGGAGTTAGCAGGGGCAGCAGGCACCTTCTGCCTTGAACTTTGAATGGCTTTTCCTTCACCACTGATTTCTGGTTTCTGCCGAATAATCTGAGGGTGGCACAGCCAGACCCAGCAGGTGGGGGCAGGCAGAGTTGGGAATACCCTGCTGGCAGCTTTGGCAAATGCTGTCTCACATGGCCAGGTGTTTCCTTTGTAAACAACTCTATCAAGTCTAATTTTTCTGGAAGTCTGCAGAAAGTGGGCCTCACCTAGTGCCTTGCCCCCACCTGGGCCGCATGGGAGGGCTTGGTGAGTGGTGGGCAGCAGCTGTGTTTATATGCTTCTGATTGCTTGGGAGGGTGCTTGTTTCCTCCAGTTGTCCAACATCTGGGCCTCTGGACTGAGTTGGGCTTGGGCCAGACCTGGTAGCTGTTGGGTGAACCTGCCAGGAGGGTAGGCAGCTGCTCATGCCAACTGATTTCCAGATCACAGGGAGGCACACCTGGGCCAGAATGTCAGGGCTGGAGGAGACTTTGAAGGTCATCCAGCTGACACCTCCCTTCCCAATATGTAGATAAGAAAAGTGAGATTCCTGGCAGGAAAGGGGGTTATACAGGTTCACCATAGCTAGCCTCTAGGCTCCCTGTCTAGAGCGTACATACTCCACTCAGCTATTCCCTCATCCTGAAACGTTGCCCCTGTCCGTTCTCTGAGCCTTAAAGCCCAGAAGGTCCAGCTGTCCCAAGGCGATGCCTCTGGCTGGGTAACTTGGCACTGTTTCCTCATCTGTAAGATGGGAAGGCTGACAGTAATAGTAGCCACCTCACAGAATTTTTGAGAGGATTAGTGCAGAAAGACACAATACCCTTAGGTTAGTGCTTGGCACAGAACAAGCTTCTGGTAAACTTTAGGTATTATTGCATCACAAATGATGACAGTTAAAATGTGTGTTCTCAGTTGGCATTTAGTCTCACTAGAGATTAAACATTTTAGGAAATTGCTTCAGGAGAGGAGGTTTTTAGGAGATTA